GTGTCCGCTTCGCATGCAAAGTAATTTCTCTAAAATACTGTCAGCAATTTATCTCTTATTCCTCTTATATGTTGGTGACATGTATGTAGTTAACATGTACAATTTTTAACACTTACGCTTGTAATTTTTTATAAATGATTTAAAAAAAGAATTTAGTAAAGTCCAACAGTGCCAATTAAATATTTCTTTCTCAATAAGTACATAGACAAATTTGATCATGTTGCTCAGAGATATCAAAACACTGTAATTATTTTAGTTGAAATTGTATATCTTGAATTTAAGACAGCTTGTGGTGCTACACCATCCTTAAAGTCCCCATCTAAAGTTTAAACCACTTTGGCTTATATTGTAGTCTTACCCAATGTTATCAAAGTGTGGTATGTGAAACTTTTTTTTTAAATTTCAAAAAGTGGTTTTTGATAGACTTTTTGTTCCAAAATTTGTGAATTTGTTTAAAACTAACTTTTAGAGGTCACACATATCTTTTAATTAGCAACAACTCATACCAATGCATAGCATTCATCCTCACATGTTTTTTGCCGAAAAAATTAAGAAAATCGGTTCATAAATAAGCGAGAAATGAACTTATAAGTGTATGAAAATGGTTCCGAGAAAAATGCATTTAAAAATTCTAGTTCTCATAGAAACCAATGGTACAATGATATCTAAAACATAATATATTCTTCCTTTTAACCTGGTTAGACAATCAACATTGGTATATAATTGAAGTCTAGCATAATTAGAAAATATTGACGTCGAAAAAAAAATTTCAATTTTTTTCAAAAAGTTTTTGGTACCTTAGTGACATCACTAATGGTGCAAAATATTTTTGATATGCTAAAACATTGAAGTGGCCCATTAAATATGGCATTTTATTATTGAAATAGTGTGTCCTTTGATCAATCTTTGCATTGGTGTTAAAAAGATAATCTTTTTCGAAATGCATTAAGAAATATTTGATGATTAAAAAATTTCAACTTTTTTTGAAAAATGGCGGGAAATTTGAATATTTGAAAAATGAAATGCTCACAACTTTTTTTTCAAAAAATTTTTTCTTTCAAAAATCTCTAGAATAACTTTTTAAGTCATGACAAATAGTAAATGAATGATAAAAAAATATTTTCAAACTTTAGACGGGGACTAAGATTATTGAAGATATAAAAAGAGCAAGTCGAGAAGCAGGGGGGTCACTTCATCTGAGAACTCTGAGTTCTATAAAGAATAAGATCATAAGAAAATTCAATCCTGCTAAGCAGTGAACATTACATATGACATATTAAAACACAACATTAAATAAAAAAAACTATATTCTTGTGGGTTTTTTACCTACTTCTGCAGGTATGGGGTGCATTAACTCAATGTAATTTGGACAGATTCAGTGCAGTTTACCATGTATTTCCTGCAGCCCACAAGTATAAGTGCACAACACAAAGAAAATTTTGCACAAAGGACTCTGCGGGAGTACATCCGTCCTTAGTGCTGTGCGCCATGTGTGCAGATATACCCTTGTGGGGTTTTTACCTACTTCTGTGGTGCACCCTGTATTAATTTTGTCCCACTTGTTCATCTATCCTGTAAGGAAATGACTCGTAAGATCTTATGAGTCATTCCCTAATATGCAACAACATTGTTTTTATATCCCTTAAAAGATGGTTTTAGCATTGAATATTTGCATACATAAAACATCTTTTAAGTATACATAACATATATATATAGGATATCCCATGATTTATTTTTTTATAAAAAACGCTGCTCCACCTAATTCAATCATTGAAAATATGTATTGACTCTAGTGTCACTACCAATGCACCAAATTAAATGAAACTCAGACAGTCTCAGGCAAACTTACTACCCTGTCTTATGTAAAAGTTTGAGCATTCAACTCGTCTTATTATAAAATCTAGAGCCAACGGTAAGAAACTTTTTGATCGGCCCTTGTATACTAGCGGGGAATAAATAGGCGTATTCACCTAGGTGTATTCCCCGCTGAAAGCGTTTTTTGTCCAGTGTAAAACTGAATGGGTAAAGGCTAAACAGCTTCAATCTTGTTTAAATTTGCAACTATGCAAAATTAGAGAGTGGGAAATAAAACAGTGAGTAATAAAACAAATATTTCATTCCATTTTCGGTGAATACCTGTTGCACTTTCTATGATTCTGCAAGGTGTATTTCCCTAGCCGTTCGTGCTTCGGGAAATACACCTTGACAGAATCATTGAAAGATGACCAGGTATTCACCTCAATCGAATGAAATATTAATTTGTATAATATTTTTTCGTTGGAAACGTGATTGCAACCCAAGTTGTAGTGTCTAGATTTGTAGAAATATAGTTTACTTGTTTCAAATATGTAGCATCTTGTTATTATATCCATTGAAGTTACCGTATACATTCAAGAGATATATTGCCAAATGAATCCTGTATCTAATGTTACCTCCTCAAGACACCACTGAGACTGAGACTGTTTACCCTGAAAAATCCATGTTGCATGCATGATGAATTCATTTTTAGAAACAATGACAATTTGAACACTTTTAAAATATGTAAAGCTTTTATTTATTAAATCTCTACTGTTTCACCCCTTTTCATGTGTTCAGTCAAATTGACAATGTTTTACAAAATGTGTGGACATTGTCCAGGAAATATGAGACTGGGGTTCTGTCCAAATCTCTTCTGATTGTGATCAGTCTATTTTGTTATTGGAGCAAATAATACAGTTCATCTTGCATGCAAGCAGGGAAAACACAACTTTCAGTTGAATGGTCAAAACCAAACTGCTAGCCTTGCCCAATGCTGTAAGCTCTGTACATTTTTCAATGCTATGAATTATTCATGAAGGATCCCTTGGCCAATCAGAAGCTTTGTTATTGTCAGTGTAGCACATGGCTGTGTTTATGTAAACAAGGACTATGATGTCACAATAACATTTTTAAGCAAAAACTAAACATAACTAAACAAATTTATTCTGACGTCATACAGATTGTGTTATCAATAGAGCAACATTACTCTGTACAGGGTGTCTCAAAAAAACGAAAACCAGCATTTAATTGCTTATTTCTCAAATATGAAAAATGATAGGAAAATTTCACAGCTACCATCTGATAGGTTATGATGTCCTCTTTCTTATGATACCAAAGTTGTCTATTTTCCTTGATGGATGACTGAGTTCTCAGGGATTTAAGTGACCATGTCAGAAACGGGTTTGTGCCATTTTCAGCAAAGTCAAGTTCACCATCATAACATAGTGATAAGTAACAACAAACATCAGGATATTACTCTTTTACTCATTTATTCCAATTAAAGTTACACATATCATATTTAACACCCCTATCCCAATGTCCAATCAAAGTTGTTTTAACCCCAGTATCATTCAACATGACCCCCATTCAATGCAAATGTCTGCCCTATATCTCATCGCACGTACTGCATCCCTGATGATGTCTCTCTGTCCCCTTAGATCCTCCACTGCTGCAACAATCCTGGCCCTTAGATCATCAACGTCTCTTGGTGATGTTGTGTAGACTTTATCCTTGAGATAACCCCAAAGGAAGAAGTTGCAGGGTGCAAAACCATCCTAGCATAGCCATTTCAATCCCTCATTGTTCAGAGATTCATGAAAGAAAAAGTGGCACAGACCCATTTCCGACATGGTCACTTAATCCCTCAGTCATCCGTGAAGGAAAATAGACAACTTTGGTATCATAAGAAAGAGGACATCATAACCTATCAGATGGAAGCTGTGAAATTTTCCTATTATTATTCATATTTGAGAAATAAGCAATTAAATGTTGGTTTCCTTTTTTTGAGACACCCTGTATAATTTATTATAATGCGCAAATAACTTCTGTTTCCATTTACTCGAGACTGCAGTACTGCACCCACTCAGTCCTTAAAAGACCGTGTGGATCGGAGGTCTTGGGCAAGACTAACCAATTTCTTGGACACTGCACACTATACATCACAAAATTATTATGGTTAATGTACTAATTCAGTCTATACCAGTTCAATCCAGACAATAAGCAAGCTAGAATCTGAACATATGAACTTCATAGGAATGCAGCTGCGTAATTGACATTCCGATGTATATTATTCCCTATTATAACATACCTAGGTATGTTATAAATCGTTTATGTCACTATCGTGGCACATATGCCCTCGGTTCTCAGAGATCGATGTCCCTCCCAAGGTCGAGCCATATATCACTGAGACCTCGGGCATATGTGCCACGATAGTGACATAACCTCTAATTATTCCTACATCTTATACTTTCACATTTTTACAGTTTACCCTTGATGAACTAAACCCAATTAGATTTTTGGCATCTTGAATTCTTGCGGAAAATCTTTTTTCATTTTAAAGAAAAATTACTGAGCCAATCTGTTCCAAATTTTTAGTTTTTAGTACATATCATACAAATAACCTAATTAGATTTTGGATATAGTAGTCAACTTAAATTGTAGCCTATATAATGCTGGCAAAATGTGCTGTTCTTTAATGTAGTCATTTCAGTCTCCATGCTATAACCATTCCAAATGTCAGAACTGGTGGTGTGATAATGACAGCATCTGTTTCTTGTTTTAACCATTTGTTAAACTGCCACACTCTACGCTACATGGTGTATACCTGTGGGGTGAATATTGAATTTTTTGTGGGGTGTACAAAAACTGTGTTCCACAAGGCCATATTGTACTCCCTGCAACCCGCTAATCTAATTGCACAGCACAAGGAAAAAATTGCACAAAGAACTCTGCGGGAGTACGTCCGTACGTCCATCTATCCGTCCGTCAATCCGTCCACTCGCACATCAGAACATCTACTGGCTACTCTTTATGTCCATTGTAGCTTAACTGGCTATATTTTGTTAACTAGCTATAGCCAGTTAACAATTGTTCTTATAATTGCTTTAAAACTGTCCAAAACACATTTGCTGGCCTTATGTAACTTATAGAAGAGGAAGTAAACGAGAGTGTGAATATCCTTTTCTCCCAAGGCCAATAAAATAGTCCAAACTAAAGCCATGGGTCGATCCTTGGATTAATAGTTCCAGTTCCAGTTCCATTGACAGTTGTGATGTAGAGATTCAGAACATTCTCAGTGGCCCTTTATTTGAGAATACATGTATTGCAGATTCAGATGACAGTCCTACTAACAACTTAGGCCTACCAGATATTCAAAAACACCTAAAATCACCGCCAGTCCAACAAGTGTGTGATGTAACGCACCCGGGAATTTATGTGAGAAAGGTTCGCCATACGTCAAATACCTCACATGGAATAAAGAAGAAAAATTCTTTGGTTTACGATGCAAAACATTGCTGCTTTTTTTGTAAGAAGGTGGTGACAAACATCTCGTCACATTTGAGGGGCAAACATGGGTGTGAGGAAGAGATAATGGACATCAAGAATTGCACAAACAAAAACATCGTTCGTGCAAAGCTTGATATTATAAGAAATAAGGGTGACCATTTTCACAATGTGAAAACCTGTCGAGCGAAGGAAGGTGAACTATTAGTAAGGCTAAGTGCAGGAGACTTAGACATTGAAAAATATGGTCCTTGTCCGATGTGCCTACAATGGGTGGTTTTTGGATCAACTATGTACAGACATCAAAAGATTTGTCCATCAAAAACTCTTGAAAATCTCGACTCTTCTCCTAAATCTAATACCCAACAAGCGTCTACTCAGGATTCTGACAACTCACTCACAGCTAATATTGCACTTACATTTGAAAGTTGAATCTCTGTAACAGAAAAAACTGAAGTAAGTCCATTTTCAAAAGTGATATATAAATGTATGAGTATTATCATCATCTTGCCAGAACATGAAAATCATTTGCTTGGAAATCGAACAAAGAACAAGCTGACTTCCTGCATCTAATCATGCAGTCTGAACAAGTTTCCAAAATCTAAAACTAACTTCACACTATTTAATTACAATTCCATGTTCTCAAGAAACAAATTCTTAATGGTTACTGAAATGTCGAAAATGTCATATTGGAATGAAGAGCTTTTGAGATGACTGACAGAATATGTCTCTTTCGTACCACCTCCATTCATGCAAATTCTCATTATTTACATGTAGTTACACATCCTTATGTTGTTTTAATCAATGTAAGCATATTCCTTACATCTTTCGTTATGATGTATAATAACAAGCTTTAGTATTATTAATTAACACACTGGAAATTAGCATAATGATGCGTCTCAAAAAACGCAACAAACAAAAAAAAAACCAGTGATAGTTACATCAATTCTTTTTAATTTACCATTAAGCCTAATGTCTCCTCTTTCCAATGATATGTCATTTAAATGCGATCATGGACCACTGAATAATCATTGTTTTTTCACACATGAGTAAAAAGGCCTTTGTGCCCAGTTATGAAATATCCTAAATCAACTGACCCTTATTGTGCAATCAGATAAACCGTAAATCATGGGGCTGGGGATTAACTTTTGGTCATAAGACTTACATAACATACATTTCAGACTTAAGAAAAAAATTCACATTATGTGTTCATCAGTATCCATGATGGTTCAGTTACAACACCTCAGAGTTACAAATATGGAAAAAAGAAGTGGCATTTTTAAAAGTCACTTATAATTTTCTGTCATGTTATAAAAGATTACTCATTTCTCTGCACATAGATATTGGATTGTCCATGTCACACGCAGCTTTTTGAATCATTTGTGGGTTCTGGGAGAGAGCAGCAGCCTACATGTAATTGATGATTCTCTGTTGTAGTGTTCAATGTCTAAAACTTGGTCCAGAGGAGATTTTGGACCATTGTGTAAAAGGAATGATTATTCAGTGGTCTATTTCTTTGTGTTAGTCTATGGCAAATCCGATGCAATCCTACAACCCTAAGATATTAAAGTGGCGACGAGGATGTCAGTATAAAAGTTAAATAATATTCTTCAAGTTGATACTATTTTCGTTGAAAAAACATTGATAGTTGTGATAAAATTGGAGGTGAAAAGATGACACTTCACGTAGATAATTTTATCTTTCTGTTATTTCCTACAAATTTTATTTGCTAAATATTGGAACTGAACTGTACATACAAAACATTTATATAACAAATATTGACCATGTGAGAAAAAATGAATGTAACATTTATAGTGACAATCATCACGACAATACTTGTCACCATGCCTATTGGGCTAATCAAGGCATTCGACCAAACATTGGAAACATTTGATTGTTACATCGAAAGATTGGACTTGTATCTAACAGCAAATAATGTTTCAGAGGAGCGACAAAAGGCTGTTTTTCTTTCAGTTATTGGAGCAACAGCATATGGAGTATTGCATAATGTTTGCAGCCCAGATAAACCATCTGATAAATCATTCGATGGTTTGAAAAAACTGTTGAAAGAACATTTCCAGCCAGACCCGATCATTATCGCTGACAGATTTCATTTCTATAAAAGGGACCAAAACTCAGAAGAAAGTGTTACTGACTATTTGGTTGAAATCCAAAGGTTGGCGAGTACATGTCAATTCAAAGAATTCCTACAAGAAGCATTAAGAGACAGGTTCGTTTGTGGACTAACATATGAAATCTGCCAACGTAAATTATTCACAGAGAAGGATTTAACTTCAGATAATTCAGTGAAAATAGCTAAAGCTATGGAAATGGCTTCGAAAGATGTATCGATTTTCCATCCAGATACTACAAATCTGTCAACGTAATAGAAGATTATTCGGAACCCGACTCTGAGTCATGCTTTGACAAACTGTATAGCATACATGCTACTTACTCTCCGCAAGGACGTGTTCCATCCGTGCACATTGTGGTGAACAAAGATGGACAACCTACTCCATTCGAAATTGACACTGGTGCTGCCATCTCTGTAGTCTACGAGAAGGACTATAACTCATTTATGAATCATTTTAGTTTAGAGAAGCGTCCCCAACGCAGACTCCAATCGTACACGGGAGAGACAATTCCGGTTATAGGTGAGATTCATGATGCCCCTTTATCTTACCAAGGTGAATCTCTCAATGTCTCATTGGTTGTTGTTAAGGGGAATAGGCCCTCACTCCTGGGTAGGGATGTTTTGAAAAATCTAAAGGTTGACTGGAATAACATATTTGCATTGCATGAAAATGATTCGAGCCATATTAAGTGCGGTCAGCGTTGTGTTTCTCAGGATTCACAACTCAAAACGTGTGTTTCTCAGGATTCACATATCAAAAAATTGCGTGTTTCTCGGGATTCACCAATCAAAAAATCGTGTGTTTCTCAGGATTCACATCTCGAAAAATCGTGTGTTTCTCAGGATTCACATATCAAAAAATTGCGTGTTTCTCGGGATTCACCAATCAAAATGTCATGTGTTTCTCTGGACTCACAAATCAAAAAATTGTGTGTTTCTCAGGATTCACCAGTTAAAACGTCACGTGTTTCTCCGGATTCACAAATCAAGACTTCACATGTTTCTCAGGACTCACTGGTCAAATCACATTGTGAAAATTCCTCAGGGAAAGCCCCGCACTCTAGTTCCTCCGGGTACTCAAGTTCCTCCGGGTTCTTCTGAAGTAATTTCCACGCAAATATCTCTGGATAATTGCAACACTCTCAAAAGTGCGATGGTACCAGATAGTAACTCAAAAGCCAAACTTGACCAGATATTGAAAACCAATGAAAAAGTTTTTACTCAAAAGGGACTCATCAAAGGTTATCAAGTTCATCTTCATGTTGAAAAAGATGCTACTCTTATATTTCATAGGCCAAGGCCAACACCATATGCTTTAAAGCCTCTCATTGAACATGAAATGATAGAGAGCTTTGGCATGAACTTAGAATAGTAATAATATTATAGTCATAAGAATGATTCAAAATGTATATGCACGGGACATGAAAGCAGAGAGATCACATCAGACGATAAAGTAAATGTCGTAGATGGCGAGGGAATAAGCAACAATCCCATTCAAACCACCACGCATGTACGTTTACCTTTCTAATTGTTTTTTATTTATATATAATTACTCTTTTGCTTTTAATTACATCAGCTCAACAATTAAATCTTCGTTAAGAAAGGAAATACGGTTTATGATCTATGCAGTGCGTTGTATTAGTCGTGCTATGTTGATATAGTTATCTTTTCCAATCGACAATAGAAACAAGTTTTTTGCAATTTTGAAGTTTTGCGCCTATAAATATTCGCAAACAGTGTCTGGTCATTTATTATCTGTATGGACTTTTGGGCTTAGACATAAGGCTAATTCAAGAACATTTTAGAAAACGTGCCTTTGTGGGGTTTCAAAAAGGATAGTTAAAAGATCGATGTATAATTTTAACTCTATTTTCAGAGTCAATCTAGATCTGAATCTATTTAAGAAATGTTGATAATGATATGCTTGTTTCATATTATATTATAACAATTTAACATATTTAGTAATTTACTTCAAGGACTGTCATATTAGTCATTGTTACATGTTACGTGTAGTTCACATTACTTGGGTCATTTTTATGATGTAATAAGATTACTTGGGAGAGGCATCTGGATGCATGCAACGTGTACACACCAGCTTGGATGAAGATAGCTTGGAAAATTCAATACAAAAGAAATTGAAGGTGCACTTGGACTTGTGAAGCTATTTGAATCAAAACTTAAATCCAATTTTATCTCGTCATTTTCCCGGGAATGAAGAAATTGATGTCTCCTAACAGAGTTAATATTCCGAAATCGATTATATGAAATGCTCCGTTACCCATGTTTATCTCACAAATCGTGTCATTCTTTATTCTTCTGTACTTTTGTCCAGTGAAAACACATTGATAACATGTAAATTATTAGTCCATTTGTCACCCCTATACATCCAATAGTGAACCTAGAAATTGTTTTAAGTACGATGTTTAATGGTCGATTTATGATAATAAGGGTTTTCTGAAGTGATTTATCTGGGTTGCCGACAAAGTTTGTTTTGGGAAAAAATTATATAGGCTAATTAGGGAGGGGTGCAATCGCTTAACATGGTGTTGACTATTGACTTAGCGTTGGGATACCACCATGTACCTGGTATGTTACCATGGATAGAGACAAAAATTTTCCCCAAAGTTAATTTTTTGGCAACCCAGCTAAATCACTCCAATAATCCCTAATGATAGTATTTACATAGAAAAAACATCATACTTTTAAATATTTTTACGTTCAGAAAATGACAAATGGACTATATATACTCTGTAAAGGGTTATTTAGAAAGGACCCCGACCCGCGATCAAAGACAATCCATTGTACAATCCTTCTTACTGTGAAATCATCGATAAGTACCATCATATGTAGAGGAATGGTAAACATAGATTTATATCTTTTGTTTCAGGAACAAGCTGAGATATGGGAAGAGATTGACCAGCGGAATGGAGTAGTGAAACTCGATGGTGTAGAAGAGACACTTGAGAACCCTGGAACCCCGGGCCCGGGTCCGGACAAGGAGCATGTTGACAAGAATATTGACGACAGACCCAGTTTACTGATTATGGCATATTTCTTCATGCAACTGAGACTCCAATCTATTTTTAAAGTGTCAACACGAGCATTACTGGCACTTAACAACTTATTCATTAACTTTATCAAAATCCTTGCACTTATTTTAGAAATAGACACTCTCGCATCTTATATACGCAACTTTCCAGCAACACAATACGCCATACATAAACTACTGGGCCTTAACAGGGACGCCTTCATGAAATATGTTGTATGCCCAAAATGTAGCTCCACGTTTACTTTAGAAAGTTCTTATGAACAACATTTCTAGGGCACAAAAAATCTGGAAAATGTTCATTCGTTTCTATTCCTAATCATAAAAATCCGGGTCAACGAAAGGCATGTGGTCACAAACTTCTAAAAACTGTAAAGACAAAATCAGGTAATTCATATTTAGTGCCGTACAAAGTTTATTGTTACAAAAACATCATTGAGAGTTTATCTGAACTTGTCAAGCGCCCTGGTTTTTCAAATCTGTGTGAACAATGGAGAGGAATTGACAGAAATGGCGAAACATTGAAAGATGTTCATGATTTTCGGAAAGATTTTCAAACTATGGAGGGAAGGCCTTTTTTGTCTAAACCAAACAATTTGGCATTGCAATTAAACTTTGACTTTTTTAATCCTTTTCAACACACTAAATACAGTTTGGGGGTTCTTTTCATCACAATAATGAACCTTCCTCGTGAAATTCGTTATAAGGAAGAAAACATGATATTGTTAGGAGTTATTCCTGGCCCGAAAGAACCAAGGCTAAATATTAACAGCTTTTTGAAACCTTTTGTTGCAGAACTGCAGACTTTGCAGGAAGGTGTATATTTTAATGATGATTCATTGTTTGGGAAGAGCCAGTACAGGGCTATTCTTCTTTGTCTAGTTGCAGATATTCCCGCAGTCAGGAAATGTTTGGCACTTACGGGCCACGGTTCCGAGAGGGGATGCAGTAAATGCAATGAAATATTCAAAACTGTAAATTCTAAAAGGGATTATTCAGGTTTTGAGAAAAATGAATGTCAAAGTTGCTCTGGTGAGGTAATTAAATATTATTTTAAGAAATGGTTGAATGCTGCTACAGTAGACGAGCGAAACTGTATTGAGCGTGAACATGGTGTCCGATATTGTATATTAAATGAATTAAGTTATTGGGACTCTCATCGCTTCCATGTTATTGACGTTATGCATAATATGCTTCTCGGAACTTCCAAACGTGTGTTTTAAGAATGGAAAGAAACCAACATACTTGGTAGTAGTTCGGAATATACATTTCTAGAAAGTAAGATTGCAAATTGTAAGATTCAGTCTGATGTAGGAAGAATTCCTACCAAAATAGGGTCAAGTTTTGCTGGTTTTTCTGCAGACCAGTGGAGAAGCTGGACTTATATTCATAGTTTATATGCGCTAAAAGGTCTGATCAGCCCAGGTGATTATATAATATTTGGACTGTTTTTGTGAAAGCATGTAGAATACTTTGTCAGCATACAATTTCGGTCAGTGAAACTATCGAAGCTGATCTCAAACTCGAAACATTTTCCAAACTATTTAGTCAAAAGTATGGAAATCAATTTTGTACATCTAACATGCATTTACATATGCATATAAAATCATGTATTTTAGATTATGGTCCTGCTTATGGTTGGTGGTGTATTCCTTATGAACGATTTAATGGTATACTTGGATCTTATCACACCAATGGCCATGATGTTGGGCTTCAATTAACAAGAAAGTTTCTTACAAATCGCCAAGTACTTAATGCCATGCATGATAATTCCGATCTTTGTGTAGATTTATGTAAAGATATTGACCTCCAAGGTAAGGGTCTTAAGGGCACACTGAGCGTCCAGCTTTCTGTAAATAGTTCTCATATCGTTCACCCTCTTCGTGAAAGTGTGGTGTCTTCTAACATCTTTGAAGTATTAATCAAAAGCATTTTCGAACGAACATAAAAAGAGTTGTTAGAATGTATGGTATATCTGAAAAGGCAATCCTGAATGGTCATATGCTACATGCAGAAACATCAAGATCGTCAAGATCAAGTTGCATTTTTGCCACGTGGGTAAAAAATGCCCCGAATGATAGTTTAGAAATTTGCCCTTTATAATTTGTTTTCACAAAGTAACTGGTATCTTTGAAGATAACTCAACACGAGAAATAGATGTAGCCGAAGTTAAATTGTTTATGAAACATCCTAATAAATCGTTTTTCGTTATCAATTCACCTGTTGAAGTGTGGAGTACCACTTACGAGCAATTTGGAGAAACTTCCTACATTCCATTAGCATGTATAAATGTTAGAGCGGCTTATCATCAAGAACGTATTGAGTTATCTCGAAATCTTAAGGAATTGGTAACCGTCATAATTCCATTGGAGTAATAAGCTAGTGGAGTGAAAATGTTAAATCAAGATGCTTGGACATTTGTTTCATAGATCCCCCAGATTGATATTTATTGAAAACTCAAAAATGTTCAACCAATGTTTTTGAAATGCAGATACTAAATTAAAATCACCCAAAATGTTGGTTAAAAGTTCAAGTTCTTCATCGTGTCAAAATGAGCACAAACATGTAAATATATTAGGTTTTCATGGAATTAAGGAGAACCATCATAAAATTATTAAACATATGTCAAATACAATGTGTATATTTGAACAACTTTAGAAAACTCAGCAACGCATGTGGCTATCACCGATTAGATGTATGTATGATTATATATTTATTGTATGTATTTACGTATACATACATACAATTACATACAAACAACATTAGATCATCTTATTGTATTTTATATTGTTATGTAACATTTCTATAGCATTATAAAGCATTTCAAGGTAGACTTATATATTAAAAGCAAGTTACAAACCCAACTATCTAATCTACTGTGGTTGGTGTTTTATTACAACTTGGTATTTTTGATGAATTATTTTATTGCAGTTTTGTCTGATAGAATTAATATATTTTGAAGAAAATTAAAATCACAAGAGAAAATGCATAACGTCTTGGTGAGTTTTAGCTTGTTAAAATGTATTGATATTAAAAGTAAAAGTTGGATTTCAACTTACACACTGTTAAAATTATATAGTTAAAACATCAGTAGACCATATCATCATAATATGCTATGTTTTTCTTGTTTACTATAATTAATCATTCAACAATGCAGACACCGTGTAGTATGTGATTTATCTAATGAGTACAGCCCTGTATATTTGGCAGCTGTACGTTGATCTTCACATGTTTATGGTATTTTATCTAGGTCTAATCGGGAAAGTTACAGAGAATCAAGAGACCATAAATGTCGTGGCCATTAACTAGTTCAGACTACATTAATCCCGAGATACCAATCGACTGAGATGTTATTTAGATAAAAAATGACCACTCTTTTTCAATGGGAGTTATCAGGGATTTTGTGTGAAAATGCGTATGCCTATATCTGTATATAGGTAATTGTTTTTAATGACAAGTATCGAATCGTTCTAGGGTTTTCAAAACTTTTAATGATAAGACACTCATCTTTATTAGTATGTTACATTGTAAAAGTATAAGTTACAAATATGTATTTCTATAATCAACACATATGAACTTCGAACAGAGAGATCGGGAATGTT